CATACTTTAGAAAAATATAGAATCAGTGATCAGCTACACATAGCTGCCACTTCATACTCGTGGTTAAAACAAAAAATTATTCTGTTTGTTTGTGTCAATCTCCAGACTTTTCATTCAATGGTTTTCTTAAAAATACAAAATAGCTGAGGTGCCGACTTACACCCATTGAGTTCTGGAGTTCTTTCTTGGGGGCAAAGTGGCCAGGGCATGAAGCTAACCACTCACCTACACCCAGCACTCAGACATGGCATGATGCTTAGTTAAGGACTAGAGACAAACAAAACTTACCGATTCATTATATTGCACTTTTCTTTAATATTTGCAGAATGCAAAAGATTTGATCAGTAGTTGACTGACCTATTATGACGGAATCCATATTGACTGTTATCAATAATTTAAGAATATCAGATAAAATGCAGTATGATGCTTAGAAATTAATTAAATTTGTTTTGTCTCTAATTTATATGAACAATTCTTTCCACTACTGTGGTAATTCTTCCTCATTCCAAATATATCTTTGAGTGCAGTTCTTCTGCCTGCTTGGATAAGTTCAGCTGGAATTACCAAGTGGCTCAGATAACAGTATGGAAGAAACCTGTAATAATCTGTGCCAGCCAAAATTTCACTGTGCACAACCTGGCACTGGTGTTAATGGTTTGCTCTTCCTGGTATACACACAGGAATTAAGTCTAATTCTCACAGTTCACAATGATATTTTTATTTATTTAGGGTTTGTACTGTCATTACACGCTGTGTGTTCATCAGTGTAAATGGTTCTCAATAAACAACTCAATAAAAACAAAATAATGTTATCTTACCTGTAACAAAAAAGTGCTGAAGCATTCCATCCTGTGCAGAGATGTTGGACAGCAGGTTTACCAACTTAATGGTGATATCTATATCACCCTTAAAATGTTTGCACAAATTCACAATCAGTGGCAGACCACCGAACTTAACAATGTCTGCAAGCAAACAATCAAAATCAACATTTATCTAGTAAAACAACAAATGAATGGAGGAATAATGATTTAAAAAATATCACACGATAATTTATGAAAACTAGCTCAGTTCCCAATTTTGCATTGCATATATTACATCTGATTGCAGAAAATTTTAAAAAATCTAGTGAAAAGCATATGAAATATTCACATTAAGAAAACAATTACAGGCCTATACAGCCACATGCTGGTATTTTCAGTTATACATTCTACAGGACTGCACATTATGTAATACTATTACAATTGTAGGAATAGTACTTCACTTATATTTTGTGTCTAAAAGCATCTAGATTCTTCTGAGGTTGCCAAAGATTTGTAACCAAATCTCCCATTTCTAAGGCAAGGATCTATTTGCTAACAAGTTACTAACAGTGTAAAAACTGTAATCTAAAAACTGAGAGATGATTATAGTTCTTTCCTAACAGTTATTTGCTCTTTGCTGATCTACAATACTGCCTAAAGACACTTAATAAGAACTCTGTTTATCTCATCCCCTTTCATAAAATTCATACTACCTTAGTTTATTTTATCAAGACATTCATATTCAAATGACATCAGTAAAATAACAGAAATGACGTCATTACTCACAGTAGCCAATGGCTCGTCAGAAACCTAGTAGTGCTACAGAGGAATGAATAAATCTTAACAATAATTACTAATCAATGCTTTTCAGCAACCTTACAGCTATACTACCTTCTTCTACTTCTTCTATGGCTCTCCGGTCCGTATTCGGTCCATGGCCTCCTCAATTCTCCTCTTCCATTCGGTCCTCTGCTAGGTCCACTGTCCGAGGCTCTGATTGAGGCTTCGAAACATCTTCCTTTTTACGGTGCAAGGTTGTTAGCCTTGCAATCAACCCCCAACCTGGTGGACCAGGCTACCTGTCTTAGTCTTACCTCTCCACTAATCTAAAATTCTGTTATTGTTAATGGAGCTCACTGTCTGTCTTGATTCTTCCCTCTATTACCACTTTCTACCCTCTCTTCGGCTGAACAAAGGTCTTCATAAAGAATGGACAGCATTTTGTGATATCAGGTATTAATATGCTCACCTTTTGCATTATCTTCAATAGTAGAATGGTGCAACAGATTCTCAATGCTGAGTGGTAGAACATTATCTTTTCTGATGTGGGACTGCGGGAGCTCCATGGTAGCGAGATCGATATCAAAAACAATATGTCTGTACTACACAGAAACACAAACAGCAATGTACATATGTATATACCACAGAGAAATTTCATTAGAACTAAATTTTAATCTGTGTGCAATACACTGAAAGAATGCTAAACTTTTAGGTACAAATATACATGGTGATTGTAAAACAAGAATATCTGAATTACATATTTTCTTATGCACATTATAGAAAATATTGGAAATGGCCTCCACAGGATACTTCATGTTGTATCTTATTTGTAGAAATGTGTTAATTCAATATGAAGGGCAGTTTCTATTATATTTGTGACTGTTTGTTAAGTTAAAGTTAATTGTGAGGGCTTGTATTACAGTATTAGTTCACATTGGTAGCCTCTTTTCACCAACCTCAAAGGGTTTTACTATGTAAATGTATGCTTTGTCGCCCTCGGTGGACTAGTGGTTAGTGTGCTCGCCACTGGACCCAAGGTTCACGGGTTCAATCCCGGCCGATAGAATTTTAAGGGTGATAAAAATTGGTAGCACAACTTCCTTCAGAGGGAAAGTAAAGCCGGCGGACCCATGTCATTAAGGTCGAAACACACTTGGCACTAGTGTCATTTATAGTGTTAACAGTTTGTTTGTTTGCTTATTTTATATAACAACATGTATGTTTCAAATGACGAGAAACCTTCAACTTTTACTATTTATACTTTTTTTCCACCCAGTGATTAAGGCAAATGTTATATATAAACTCACCTGCAACTCAGGGAATGCCTTTGAAAGGAATAATGTAATGCAAGGATGTTTCTTTGCATCATTCAAAGAGAGGAGAAGATTGTACATTTTGTCCGTTAATTCCTGCAACATAACACAACTTCATGAAACTCGCCTTATGATTTATGGCTCAATCCTTATCCTTACATTTTTTTTAAACTTAAAGACAATGCACTAACATTTCTGTTTAATTCTATTAAGCATTAAAAAAATTACAGGATGATTACAAATAACAGCTTGGAAACATGTGACAGGAAGTGGTTATGGCCCATTTTAAGGTATTATTCAGCATTTGAGTATTACTGAGGAAAACCACAAAAACTGTCAGAACTGTAGATCTCCCAGTCAAAATAAATATCAATGGCCTCCCAAATGCAAAGCATGATTAGGATTTGAGGTTCTCACAGTGGTGAGTGTGAAGATGGCTGTATTCTGGGTTGTAGTGCTATGTAATCTGAAGCTTGTGAAAATAAAGTGCTCTAGAAAATTCCAGAACCCGGAAGTGAAAGTATTTGGGAAACAGAATTCTTCAAGATAAGAAACTTCATGACAGCGAAACCAAGAAAGTTGTGATGAACAAACATGATGGAAAGGAGGATGATATAAGGACACCATACAGAATTTTGATAGGATAACTTCTGTAAAAGCACCCAATATAAGACCAAGAACATTGCAAATATGATAATAATATTATGAGGAACATTAAAGGAAACATACTGTTACAAAGCGAAAATGCCTCAGCATTGTGTCTAACAGCAGACAGACTTTAGTATAAATAGTGTTGAAAGTTCTGGTTCAGACAGTCAACACTTAAAAGTTTAACAAAACTCTGAATATGTTTAAGTGTATTAAATGTTTAAATATTCTGATATTTAACATACAATAAATCATGTATATACCAGGATTACCTCTTTGGATGGAGATAAGTGCCAGTTAGGAGGTTTCAAGAAGAACCGCAAGTCTATGCCCTCACTGTGAGCAAGTCCCACTGCTGTACGAGCATCAGACATTTGGGCCACATGTCGACAGTCCCAATCTTAAAAGAATAATACAGCTGAAAACAGGAGAGGTCTAAAATACTTTTATTGATATGCAAACATATACTGAGCTAGTACTCAGTGCATGGTATAGGTTAATCAGCGTGAGAAATACACTTAATTAACTTTTTTATTATTATTAATGAAAAATAAAGTAAGTTGGCTAGGTGTTAGCCATTACTGAACCAATGGCTACAATTTAATGTGTCACAAATAAACCATATAGATATACAAATTAAAATGTCTAGACTGCAACAAACTTTAAGATTAGATTTCAAGAACATATTCTGATGTCAAAAGCAAGAGATTTGATTCAAAATATGGAGTCCATATTCTTATTAACAAGCAGTAACGAACAACACGTGAAATAATGATAAAGATCAATTATGCTAACAAAGTGTGGATGATTAATATTAAATAAAGGCTGCATATTTATTTAAATAAAAAAGATAGACAGTTACTTGATAAACAAAAACATGACAAAAGTTAATCACCTATTTGACTTTGGGGAGGTACACAGGAAGTCAGGCTCACAAGTGCATCACACCACAATCTGACAGTAAACGATTAGATCCTAGACAGGAAGTCCCCAACTGTGCTTGTGAAAAAGTCATCCTCACACTTCAATTGCTGAAAGACAACCAACAGACTCGTGCAAGCACGTTACAACACGACGTGACCTGCAAGGGTTCTAGTATACTTGCAGTGATACTGTGTGTTCAAAAAACCAACTGCATTGTATTAAATTGCAACCATCAATAAATATTTCAATATGGGTTGTGCAACTTTTCGGTCTCCCTGTATGTTAAATACAACAATCATGTGAAATTAAACATTTCATCTGCTGCTCTAAATTTATATATTTTCTCTTTCTTTCATTAAAATATACTAGGAACACCTGGAACATATTAATCAACACATGTACAGATGTTCACACCAAATATGCATTGTATGAGAGGGAGTAGCTAAAACAAGTAACACACGATACCTGGTCAAATGACACGATTATCTATTAAGAAGCAACAAGACCTTATAAGGATTTAGCTTGTCTGCATTCACCATGAAATGTACTACATAACATATAATGAATCTTAACATGATATTCATACTACATTTTATAGCAGATGTTTAAAACTGTTTTAATAACAAGGCAATAATGAACTTTTAATTAAATATTTTAATATTTATGATTACTCTAATGTAGTGCACTATTATATTTATACTATCGTTTATGTAAGATTTGAGGTTTTCACAGTGGTGAGCATGAAGATTTCTGTCTTCTGGGTTGTTGTGCTGTGTAGTCTGGTCGATCTTTACCAACGTTTCAGAGGTCATACTGCCTCTGTCATCGCCCTGATGACGGAGGCAGTATGACCTCTGAAATGTTGGTAACCATCGACCAGACTACACAGCGAAACAACCCAGAAGACAGAAATCTTCACGATCGTTTATGTTTGTCACAACCTCAACAGCAAAAACATGAACTGTAGCAACATAATAAACCTGATAAACCTTGATGATGACCACTAAGGTCTGAAACATGTCAGGTTTTGAATGAAACACTAGTAAGATATATCTGTACGTTGTTTTTATATTAGTTATATTTAGATTTTATATGAGATTCGCTGCGACAAATATAATGGCGTGACACTCAACTTAGAATACAGTGAACCTACAATATTTCTGCCTGCACATTTAAAGGAACATTTCTTCCACTTGTAAGACCCTATTCATATACAAGGCACTAACTTCATACACCTCATGTTTTGCAAGGAAGCAAGATAGAATACTTGTATATTTGTTTCTATTCTTAACTCACAAGACAAAATTTCTCTAGCCACAGCAGTGGCTTCACAACCACGTCTGTAAATATCTCATTTAAAACTTCAAGCCATAACATTTAAAAACCATTCAGAGTAGGCATGTTCCAGAACAGTTTAATTTTGACAGATGCCTTTCTTGCTTAAAAAAACTGTCCTGTTCAATTAACCAAACCTTTAAAAACGTGGCACTGAAAGAACAAAAGAGAAAGCTGAGTGTTACAAATACTAAATTAGTCACACACAGGCCACAGTCCACTCAGAAATATGAAACAGAAGAAAAGTGGGTTATAGCATGAGAAAAATACCACACAGTCTAGATTTTCATGCTACATACAAGTGAGTAGTCATCTTCATGCTCCAGAGAAAGACACTAGTACCCACATAACAGGAGCGTCCCAGAGCATGGACACAAGGGGGGGGATCTCGGCTCCTTCCAGAAATTAAACCCCAATGGTGTAATCTGTAGCTACTCACTGTACTTATAAATTTACACCAGCTCATTTTTATAAACATGTGGAAAAAAGAAACTACATACTTTAAACAAATTTATGATAAAGATGCATTCACTGATGTCATAATAACTGGAATCACATTTTGCTACCAAATATTCAGCATGGCTTAATAAATCAAGCAGTAATATTCTTTTTGAACAGAACCAAACCCTTTACTTTCTGAGGTCCACATATTACAACAACTGATAATGGGTTTTATATAATCAGTTAGTTCTCAGAGAAACAATATGACACGAAGTGGCACAATTATCACATTTCTCCTTTCATTAATCTTTTAAGGACTAAGGGTGACATATCAACTTCAAATATCATATAACACACAACTGTTTGGTTCTAGTCGCATATGACTGTGTTAAGCCTTTCCTGCAAAAAACTGTGATTCATCCCTGCAAAGGATGATAACAATGTTTTGTATAAGAGGTGTAACAAATTTAATTCTTTAAAAATTAATTTTAGAACACACAAACTCACCTTTCAAATTCTTCAGTTCAGCAAGGAGCTGCACAGCCTTCAGTCTGTCTGTTCTATCTCCACTTCGTGCTACTGCTACTAGCCGCCATGAGTATGATCGCTTTAGTGACCTCCAGAAACCAAAGAGAGCTGGAAACCGGGATGTTCTTTGCTTTGTGCCTCTCGCTTGATCAAATATTTGATTCCTTTCTATAATGTGAAAAACAGGAGAATTATATCTGTGTATTACACACGCAAATCACATCGTCTTTTAACATGTAATGAATTAGGTACAGTATATTTGCTATAATCCAAGAAAAGGACATAAACGTTGTAAAAAGTAAAAGATTTAAAACGTTTATAAAATTTATTATTTGCTTCTCATCCAATGTCCATTATGTGTGAATTGACAAGTGTGCAATTTGTGTGATGCAGAGTCTGCACTGTGAAGTTGTTACATACTCACCATACATTAAATGGAATTGAGGGTCATTGATATATATATAATCTGCAATCTTCTTGTGGTCAGTGTAATCAGCTGTCATTGCCTGACTCATGGCATGTCTCGTTTTGTAGATTTGGTACACAAACCATCCTCCACTGTTGAAATTATATAGCACTAATTACAATCACAATATTGATATGTAAAATGTAAGTCTGACTTTCAACTGTGAGGTACCTTGTTTAAATCTTTGATAGGTAACTGGCAGTCTTCTTGCAGATTACATTAGTCTTTCCACAAGACTGCTCAATTTACATAATACATACTGTGCAAGTACAGTCTTTCAGGTAAGAGTTTAATTCAGTTTGGTTTCTGTGAATCAGCATAAAAGACTCCCCTTCCTTAGTTTGCTTTTCTTAGATTAGGTAATGCTTGCATAACACAAATTTTGTGTCAAGTATGACATCACAAGAGGGAAAGGACTCTTCTAAACAATTTTGCTTTATATGTATAAAATGATAGACAATGTAACTCTGTAATTTATATCAAGTTGTTCTTGTATTACAGCAAATGCTACCTGCAGGTGGATATTTATGCTTACTGAGAAACAATGCATAAACGCAACACAATACAGACCTACTTCACCATTATAGGTTAGGTTACACTATACATATGTACCAACAAGATGAACAGTAAATATAGTATAAAATTCATTGACATAACAACATACTAACCCACTAATAAATACAAAAGATCCAGTAATTTTAAGCAATCTTATTATTTTTTTGTTTTTCATGGATACAAATTTTCAGTAACTTCACCATAGAAAAATCCGTTCATGCCAATATTTAATTGCATATAACAACATTAGCATAGCATTAAGTATCGCCTTCTAACATTTCACACTGCTACTCACGCCAGTTGCGATAAATCTGTGAAATTGCGAATATTGTATTCTGTATTCACGAGCATAAGAATACATTCTCGAACATTACTTCTCATCGAAAGTGTTTGATGCTGTCGTTATGCAATTTGCAGTGCATATCGTGACAAAGAAGTAAGCTTTTGGAGTAATAAAATACTGTACCACGACTGCTAACAAAATTTCAGGAGACAGGAAATGTTTGTGACAATTGCTCATCGAGTGACAAAACAGGTGAAATTACAGCCGTATCGATTTCAAGTAGTTCATCAACTGCAACAACGGGATACGGCTGAAATAATTCAATATTGTCATTTTTTCCCGTCGTTTTGAGCGTGCAGGGGTTCATACGTATTAGTTGGGGTTGAGTTTTACATGCAGATGTTTGTACATCGGTAAACTAGAAATTTGTTTCAAAAAGCCAATTCAATCTAATTCCGAAGTTCCTCAGCAAATTGAAAGTAAAGCTTGTTTTGACTTTTTTTTTTCGTATACCAACGATTCTTTGACTATCATGACATTGAACGGGAGATTTTCTTCATACTACCACAAAAACAGCGAAGTAGGCCTATTAATAAAGATTAAATTAGGGAACACTATAGGGGTAAAGGGGGAATGGCGGTCAGTGGGTAACTCCGTTCAGTCACTTTTCTGACTTTTCAAGCTGGTGCTGACATCTAGTGCTTCATTCATTGAAGTGCAACAGCGACTTCCTTTTGCTTCTGGTACAGTTAACGAGATAGTTGCATGTCTGTTTTGTGCTCCAGTGATCTAACACACTTATGGTTGTTGAAGACTCCTATCTTAACCTTTCCGTTAGAATTTGTACGTTCAAATGATTTAGACGTGTACACATTTTATAAGCAAAGAAAAATGCCTATTACTTACTAAGAAACACATTTTATTCATTCATTATCTTATTTACTTCAGTGGCATCTTGAAGCTCAAATAGTAACCGTCATTATACCTCTAAGGGTGGGGAATACCGATCAAAGATACTTCTTCACTTATCATTTCCTACAGAATTTTTGTTCGGTTCAACGTATTTCATACTGCATACTTAAGAAGTAGACCCTTCAGACTAAATGCCAGTTTATATAAAGTTTCAACTTTGCGTATATTTTTCGTTTTATCTAGCTTTTCTCTTAAGTGACCCCCTTTTCCCCCCCATAGCGTGAGGGTTTAAAATGCCTTCGGCGCTTCAAGTTCTCCTCTTTCACTTATATTTGTTTATTTTGCAGTCCTCTACAATTTTATCACAATATCAGCATCAGCCACTTTATTAAAAAGTCAATTCACTCTAAACAAAAGAGTCCGAACTGCGATACTTCGTTTTTTCCGTATCTAATAACGAACGAGACATTCACTTCCGCCCATTCGATTCTTGATAAAATTACGAACATCGATATCAAAGGTATCGATTGATCTGCTTCCGAGAAATCTGACACGGGTATCATGTAGTGTAATTAAAAGACTCCCTGTTTTAACGAACTACCGCAAATCAACGTAACAACATGGTGGGCATGAAAACTTGTAGCATAGGATGAAGAGCTTACTGTTAATAGTCTTGAAGTTTTGTGCGGTTGTAACATTCAGGCATGCGTAAAACTTATTCACGTAATTATTTAGGGAAATTAAAAATTACATGCTTTTCTTTAGCGGCTTGCCCTCACCCCACTATTGGTCATATCCTTGTCTGGTCTGTGTTAGAGCCTCCAGACGGGCCTAGTGACAAGTTTTAATCTAAGAGGTCACGTAGTTTCCTTTTACTTGTAGATGGAGAGAAAACCATCCTGAAAGAAGAATGTACTTTTGTACAATGGATGTGTCCAATGAAAATTGGGCTTTTCTTACGAATTAGTATGACCTGTTCCGACTTGGAATTAGTTCTGAAACAGTCTTTTAGAGAATAGTAGGACTTCTCGGATCGGTCCATCGTAAGGTCTGTATATAGACCGGAAAACACATCACTGTTAAATGCGGACTTCCATTCCTGACCAAGCGTGAACTAAACTCATGATTTTATTAATTTGTGGTTTATTTAAAGAGGCTGTTAGCTCATACCATATATCACTGGATGATAAGACGATTAATAATGGATTGGAAAAGATATGAAAAGAAGTGGTCACTGTTTAATTTGAAGTACTACCATCATATTTTCATGAACGTACTGAGGAAAATCTCAGTCAAGATAGCCGGTCTCCTGGTCGAGATTTGAACCCTGGATTTCTCGAACACGTAGCAAAGGAGCTAACCACTCGGTAGCGTAAAAAATAACCGATTTTTATGTAACCTGATGTTTGATTACCATACTCACAAAAGCGTGCCACTGAACTCCAGCCTGACGAATCTATTTCAAATCCTTACAAACGATATTAATATCCTCCAAAAAAGTTTTGGTCTTCCAAGTGGCCTCTTCGCGTCAGGTTTTCCATATAAAATTGTTTATGCACTTCCCATCTCCCCATGCATGCTATATGCTCCTTTCCATCGTCCTTGATTTTATCACCGAATATCTGCCGAAGAATAAACATTATTAAGCTCTTCATATTTTCTCGTTTCCTATTACTTTCACCCCTTAGGTTCAAATATTCTCCACAGCATCCTGTCCCAAAACTCGTACCGCGCTGTGCCTCCTTCTATTTTTATGGCATTCGCTGGGAAACAGCCACGTTTTAATGAAATTAATCACAAAATGTTAAGATAATACCGTTGTGACAAGTCGTGATGACGTGATCTGTCAAGTAGACGCATTACCTTTGAGTGTTCGGTTTCGCCCGCTGCGAGCAGCGAAACAACCGCAGTGATCCCATTGTTAGTTATCTATGCTAAATGTTAACAACGAGTGCTCTTTGTGGTGCAAACGCGCGTATTTGAATATCAAAGTTGCATTCTGGTTCTATTTCACCCTCAACCCCTCTGTAACGTGGAGGTAGAAACGCGAGTTGCAGGAATTTACAGAGTGTTTATAAATTATCTTTCCCAGTTCAAATAGAATAAGACTTATGACGAAATAACGCGGTTTTCTGAAAATTCTTTCACAAATGGCACTTCACTGTATTTATTTTATTTGTTTATTTATTTATTTCAAATATTTTCTTCTCATAAATATTCTTGAAGTTCCACTGCACTCTGTTTCTTTATCTGACGAGTGCCAAATAACTGATCAGTATATGATCTATTAAGTCGATCCAGACTGATTATCAATTTCCCCTCTGAATAGAGTTAAAACTACAAGGAATTTAGTAGTTCTGTATATTTAGAACCATAGGTCTACCTGCAATATGTGAATTGGAATATCTGTCAGTACGGTGTGATTAGTTCGATTCATGTCTATTGCAAACATTCTCTTAACCACCACACTGTTTATACCATCTCTGGGACCCACCTAGCACAGTGAATTATTTTCCCGGTGATAAAACGGCCGGAGTGTGAATCTCATCACTCACTTTGCAACTAGAACCGAGGTTGAAATAGCGTGTAAACTTTACCACTATGTCCACTAGGCCTTCACGGCGCGGTACTTTTTAAGAATTTTACCTTTTCAGGAGCTTTTCAACGAAGTTGGCACCACTTAATTAAAGTTAGCACTTTTTAATCTCGGTGCCTGGGTGTCCATCTGTATTTCTCATGTAACAACTGGAGTACAGCTGAATGGATTTCACGAAATTCGATATTCAGAAATTTCACTAAAATCTGTTGGTACATTCTAGTTATGATTAAAATCGGCCGACAATGACAGGCACTGCATGAAGACCTGCTTGCGTTTATGCGTTCGGAAGTGACCTCGGTGAATCCCCGATACCTCACCTAAATAAAAACGTGGGGAATCCTCACAGAGAACCATCACTCAGACAAACGGGCGCCAGATATCCTGTCCACACAAGGAATGACCCCAGACAGTTTTGACGTCACTGTCGCTAAGATTAAAGGCCATGTCTTGATGGATCAAACCGCCTCACACAGGTACTTAAGCGACCTAAAAGAGAGCATTCAAGAACTGAACGTCTATAAACAATCACAGAACGTGGTCGCCTCTATACGTGCAAGCAACGCAAAATAGAAACGTGTTGAAAACTATTTTTGAACCTCGAGGATACTTTCCCGACCGGTGTGCTCCGTTCCGGGTCCATGGACGATGAACATTACAACAGACAGACTGACAGACATGCTATGCACTCATGATCACAATCTGAGCGCGATGGTGCCATTATAAGCGTAACTCACACTCCCCTTTAGAAACAAAATGACCCCGCTATTGATGATGAAAGGTCGCGTAGCGGGGAGAATTAGATTATCCGGTTCTTGAAGCTCTCTCGCTCCTTCGCGTCCCCAGGGGATGAAAATATCATAGCAAGTACCGCCAGACTTCAAAGAATTCAAACCATGCTAATTTTCTACAGTTAACATCAATATGACCGGCTGGTAGCGGGACAGACATGAAAGGGTGATTTTTTTTAATAGATACCAGGTTCATGTAATTATGCCCCACAGTATGTAGCGTAATGAAATCTGTATCTCGTATTTCTATCTTCGAAACTATATGATGAATATAATAGTTGTTTAAAAATCTGAATCTATACAAAATATTTATTTGACAAAAAACAGATGTTTTAATATATTCTTGTAACAAGTAAAGTGATTTAAAAAAATTGCTTATTTTGGAACCCTTCAGCGTTGTACTTGTATACAATACACAAACGGACTGCAATGTAGGGTTATACGTATTCTTAAATATATTTACATACAATTCTTTAAAAATGAAGCTCTTGAAATGTTGCCGCTGCACAGGCTTTTGGGTCGCATTCCAATCGATCCCTTGTATCACAATAAAATGCCACGTAATTGTGAACATCGATCAACTTTGAATTTTGTTACGGTAATTTTGTACCAGAATATGAAGTCATAGAAATTATATTCTTTAAAATATAGAAAATATTTTTAAGACGGATGAAATAACATAAAGATGAAGAAAAACAAATTGCATAATGAGAAGCTTCGTAATTTGGTAGGGTGATAAAACCGAAAAAGATGAAATGGGACAAACATGTAGCACGCATTGGAGAGTGAAAAAAATATTTGCAGAATTTCAGTCGGCTACACTGAAGGAAAGAGGGCCACGCCATTTCAGCGTCTCCAGTTTTGTTAATTTCTGTCTTCCCCCTCCTTGTTATTTATCTTATTCTTCTTACTCTTCTTATTTTACTTTATTATTTGTGATTTTGCTTTTTATTCCGTTAATATCTGTTACCTTTTGCTCACATGCCATGTCTCGTTAGCAGGAACTTTGCGGACTTGCATGTCTGACTTGGAAATACGTTCATAAGTTTGTTGGCGCGTGTCTTGGCCGCCTCTGATGATTTCGGCTACTTCATTCGGGTTGCCATTTTTTCCCCTCCCCCTCCCTACACACTCTGGTTCTCAAATGAACGAAAAGCAGTATCTGCAACGCGCATTGAACATATTCGTGTAGAAGTGACACATGTCTCATCTGCGACATTCTGCGGGAGCTATAATGGCGTCTGAAGTCTTACGTGTTGGTAAGAGGTAGGGGTAAAGTTAGACGTGTTTTGACACCGACTGCGACGGGAAAGGGAGCAACAGTGTGCGTAAGGCAAAGAACTGAAAGTGATGTCAATAACATGTATTGTGTATTGGTGGAAAACTTGATCGCTAGTTCTAATACACAGATTTCTTTCAGAACAAAGGCCCGAGGAAAGTATTTGGACATGAAAGGATGTAACAGGAAGATGAAGACAGGTTTAAATAATGGATGGATCAATAATTTGTAAAATTGCTGTCTTGAATCTGGATTACTGGGTTTTTGGACCTTGTCCATCGTCTGATGTTATAAAACGCAACGCTTCGAGGACTTGTCTTCAGTTGTAGTGTAGAGGAAGGGCATCTATTCTGTGGGGTCCGTTAGAATGAGATGATCCCAATGACTGGTCCAGATTGTATTATACCATCGTCAGAACCCTTCAGAATCGATGTGGTTTCTTGAACTTTGTCTGAAACCTTCAGACTTCTTTCATAATTTGTCTTCTCCTGATATTATTATGCTGATTTAATCAAGGAGGATGGAATACTTACAAAATTTCGATATATATATCAAGGTTGTGGACTAGATTAAAATATTTTTATTATTATTTTGTCCCGCTACTTGCCATACAGGCGCTTGGGGTGAGTGGAGGTATAGCTCCTACTCATTCTTGACCTCGGCACTATATGGGGGTGAGTGGTCAGCATCACGCCCCGGCCGGCTTTACCCCCGGGAAAGGACCCCTGTACCCATTGTAGAGGAGGCTGGGTGGGCCCCAGAGCCGGTCTGGACGCAGAGGCTATATGAAAAAAATCTTCTGCCCCTGTCGGGGATCGAACCCCGGTCGTCCAGCCGTAGCTAGTCATTATACTGACTGAGCTATCCCGGCTCATACTAGATTAAAATAACTCAAGATATTTCCAAAGGATAATGAAACGTCGAGTTCCATAATTTTTTTACAAGATGGTAACTATAATAATAAAAAAGCACCATAGATTCAATCTGAAACGATAATAATCGTAATGAAGTCCCTGCACCATAGAGTATGTGGAAGTTTAGTAGATCAAAAAATGTAAGTTAATTCGAATTACTTTTACCCTGGATTAATCGGTCAGATCTAATCATGCTAGGTCATACATGAACTTGTCTGTCTTCATCGGTTCATTAAGAAGGAAAGAATTGTGTGTAAATGTCTACTGGGAGCGTCATCTTCAAAACATTCTTCCGTTCTGGATGTAAAACGATTGTGAATACAGACAGTTCATTGTTGTTGCCAGTTCCTCGGATCTTACACAGATTGCGCTGTAGATATCCACTTCCCTCACTGGGACCACTCTGATTTCCGCCTCAAGTTGCAATTTGCACCGACTGAGCGCTCTGCTCGTCCACCTGGAAACAGAGTAAGCACAGGGTTGAGAGGTGGCATGTTGCCAGGCAACATTCTGCGAAGCGACGCTATAAACGAGAAAATATTACTAGGAATGCGCTGTCCGGATTCACTGAACCTTTCTGGCTACATAATATATTTCGTGTTTATTTATTTGTTTGTGATTTATTCGACGACGACATCAGCTCAGATAAAATAGTGTCAATTGGCAGGATGATTGATGAACAATTAATTGGAAAGGACGTGGAAGGAAGCGATAGTTATCCAGGCACGTCTGCTTGCACGGGCTGCGGAAGGCCACAGGAAACCTCAATTAGGATAGCCCCCTTCTGCTCTGTAAATAAATTATAATCACTCGTTTGGGAGAAAATTGGTGTTATATTTGGTACGTACATTTTGGGTCATTCTGTACACAAACAGAGAAAATGGGAGAAGAAAACTGGTCAAAATAGCACAGAATTATAAACATATAGGAAGAATGGAAAAAGAGTGAGGTCACAAGTCGGTGGCAAACAGTCTGTATTGCACAAACAAAAGTTTTTTAATTTGTACTAACAGTTATCAAGCTGACATTAAGCAAATAACAGTGATTTTCTTCATTTCACTAAGACATTTAGAGTGTTATAGGTAAAATTCCACCCAAACATTTTTAACCTTGAGATGTAATCTCTTTGTCCTCTTAATCTATTTAACCTCCGGTACCCATTGGATATGGGTTTGTGTGAGCTTCAGAATCAATCTAACGTGGTAGAGAATATAAAATCCCTGATATTCTCGGTAATCAAACCCCGGTCGTCCAGAACGTTGCAAATTTTGTTTAAAGATATCAGGATAATATTAAAGGGATGTGTGGACTAGATTCAGTGAGGTCAGGATAGGATGACAGGATTCAAAACTGACTTTCGTAAACACGGTATTCAACTAAACTTTGAGTTTTGACAAAAGGTGGGCAATTTCTTGACCAGCTGAATAACTATGAACCTTTTAAGACGATTCTTTAACATCGAATTATTTATCATAGTCGACCTACAGCTTCGATAGACCTCGTTACATGAACCAATATAAAGCAACAAACAGAAGCTGGGATGTAATCGAGCGAGCGACATGCCCAAAGTTTCACAGGGGATTTCAATATAACTTTCTGTGAAGCGGACCGGTTTAATTTCCGCAGGTATGTGAGTGGAAACGTTTCACCTAATGAAATGTTCGTTCTAGTGAACAGTGGTGTTCGTTTCACAAAGGGAACTGGGATTCAGATAAGTTTCCGTGTGACAATAGCCCCGAGTAACTGTCAAACTGACGCCATCACAATAATACTGTCATTGCTAATGAAGTTTGCTGTATCACCACCACCTTGAAGACAATATGCAACTTCTGAGCTGATCTTATCTGTAGGAGAGAGTTGTTTCTATAACAACCGGCCAAGACAGGACGCTGAAATGTGAGGTTCTTATGATGCTGTTTCAACTGCAGGAATTATATACAGAGAGTAGGTACGGATTTAAAAGGAAGCAACTTTGCCTACAGAGACTGAAGAGAATAGGATGCAATCTATGGTAGATTCTAATCGGATACTTACAAGTCTCTAACATTTAAATTTTTCTAATATTTTCCGTGCCCGAATTTATTAAGCGCAGAATGGAAGAACATAAACTTCCATCGAAAATTAATGATTTTTCGAATATCGGTGAGAATAATAACGCGAACATCACTTATGCATCGACCTACATTCACGTAGCTTTAATTCATGAGTGATATATTATCCTGTATGGTGCAACCATGTGGAAAAGGCTGATAAACACTGGTGTTACTGACAGCCAGATATGATTATTATTATTGTGTTCACCTACGTACTCCGTGTAAAGAATTCTCACTTACTGTAACATGGATGTGCATTGAGACACGTCCTGTAGGACGTGTTGAAAGGATCGGGGAGTGATTGTCCTTCCAGATAACTGGACGACACCATGAGAGTGAGATATGGGAAGTGAATGGAGCGGAAAACTATCTCAGTGGCTCGCTTCAGTGAATTCTTGGACATTGGATTTGTATGTACTATCCGAGCTGAATACGTCGATTCGATGTGTGGCATATCCTGTATCTAGTTCCGTTTTGTATAGTGTGAAATTTGCCCTTCAGTATGAATGAAGATAAAGGGTTTCCAGAAGAAGCTGCTCAGAAGAATATGTTTCCTTCCAAAATGGGAACGTAACAAGATAATGGAGAAAATGACCCAATAAAAAAGCACCATAATTTGAACTTTCCCCCGAATATTATATAGAAAAATACAACGTTCATAAACCAGGTGTAGATAAAAGGATAATACCAGAATGGATATTAAATATCTAAAATGTGAGGCTGTAGATTAGACTCATTTGACTATGAAAAGTGCAAATTCTCCAGGGCTTGATGCCTCCATCACTAGGGCGATGAGTCGTCTTGATGGTGGAGGCAGAAAGGACCTCTGAGATGTTGGCAAACTTGTAGTACACGGCGCAACAACCCAGAAGTCAGCCATCTACAGAATCACAGCCGCGAAAACCTCATCATATCTTACATATGCAGGGTAGTTGAAAACTGCGCTATAAATTTGATGTCTCCAAAGGCAATTTAATAGGTCATTGTAGATAATTCAATTCAATTCAATTCAATTAATTTATTTACGTGTTTGCCAACAGCAAGAAGCCAATAACAGGCAAACACTGATAATACATACAATAATATTGAAATAATAATGAAAAATAGTACACAAACAGATTAACTAAACTTATACATGCACAATATTAAATATTAACACAGAGCAAAATAAATGAAGAACTGATTAATATTAGTATCCCCGGTTGAAGCTGGGAAATAAATAGGCAAGAATATATATGCCACTCTCTAATAAGGTCTTTCGGAACGCTACAAAGGACATTTTTTAAAGAAAAGTTACTCGTATTAGGCAGAATGAAATGACTGCAGTATATTACGTAACGTAAGATTAGGCAGCTATGTGAAACAGTGCCTCAGGGCATGATAAGGCCCCGTAGAGAATTAAAATTCTGTACGATGTGCTGCTGTCTGTTGTCACGTGACAGCCGGAAGCACGAACACTAATGCACTAAGCGCAGGAAACTTGAAATGAGGATCATGGTAGTCCCATGGGAACAATTCATTATTGTTACTGCGCAGAAAGAAGTTTATGCAATAAAAACAAGGAGGACCCAGTTTTCAGAACGTAAGTAAATCACTTCTTACGTCAGATGTGATAAAATTATTATTATTTTTATTTCATTATGGTTGAAATCCAAAAGGGATTACTTGCATGTAATTATTAATTAATGAAGTAATTCAAAATTAATATTTAGTAATTGTGGAACTCATCACGCTGTTAGGAAATATGTATGAGCCCTAGCGTCCAGTTGAACGCAAATAATCGTACATTAGTGGCCTACAATTAGCAGTTACTGAATACAGTAATTGAAGTTGATGGAAATATGAAAGACGGGATTATACCGCACACAGAGAGAAGTCTCATAGTTTAATTTCTTCGACAAATATTGTTAGGGTGATCAAATAACCCACGAAGAATTCGGCAGGGTATGAAACACGCATACGATATATAAGAAATAAATAACAAAATTTATCTCGAAGAACCTGTTAGGAAGAGAAAACTTGGGAGACCTAAGCGTAGATGGAAGAAAATAACAAGGATCTCAGAGAAATAGGGTTGGGGATGTGGACTGGATGGCTCAGCAAAGGGACCAGTGAGGAGTTGTTTGTGACCACGGAAATAAACTTCCGTTCCGTGAGCCGAGAATTAATTTCCTGCTTAGCTGAGCGGTTGTTAGCTTTTGAAGGACTGTGCTCCATTGAATTAGTTTTTGTGGAATAAACTTATTTTATGACACAGTTTTTGACAAAGGAACTTAACATAATCAATATCAAATTTGTGTAAATAAATATTTAGGCTATAACATTAATAAATTTCATATATCAATTTACAATGATTCATAAAAGCGAATTGTCTCGTGCCTTTCCACAGTACATGCCTAATTTGATAAAACAATTAGTGTAATGAATGCCTATGTTTGTTAATATGTAATGGTTATATTTAGCACTTTCAGGCCGAATAGTCAAGAGCAGGGGTTCTCACCCTTTTTCGCTGGCGTACCACTAATTCTAATTTAACACAAAAAATGTACCACAAACGAAATGCGTTCAGGGAAAATTTATTTATGTTAATATTAACTTTTGATTTTCTCACATAGTTCGCGTACTACCAGTGATAGGCGTACCATAAGTTGATAAACGCTGGTCTAGAGAATACGCGAATCTGAAGTCTGAACCAAGTTCGTACAGCTGGCATTGCTGGAGACAAGCCAGCGTCCGAAGGAATGCTGTTCATACCAGACATAGGAGTGTCGATCAGAGAAAGGAAGTTCTCAGGGATCATTCACGTATTATTTTCATGCGTTCCTTGCACAAAAGCACAGAGAAAACGCATAAAGGGGAAGTTGTGTATCTGTCTGGCGGAATGTTTGAATTTATTTAACAGATTTAGTTTAAATTTGCTGTCGAAGGGTCGTCACATAAAACAGTCGCAAATTCAACTCCTTAAATCAACTTCTATTTCCAACAATTTACATGGTAAATATATAATTATATTGAATTAAACATAATTTCTGACTTTTTGCTTTAGTGTTAGTAGATCTGAAACAGTAGATTTATAATAGGCCTATATAAACATCAAACCTCCTGAGCTGAATGTATTTGAAGGAGAAAAAAAAGCTACCTTGCGGCTGACTCAGCCTTGTGTGCCAAGACATGGTAAATTTCGTCTGCAAGATCTCAGTATTAAAACACTCTAGTTCAGAATGTGTTCAGAAGGAAGCCACAAAGCAAGTTCCCTTATTATTACAGTCACCCCTCTCGGAACACAACTACCCCTACCCTAAATTATTATCTTCTACAGGGCCAATTTTACAAGAAAACCTAATTATAGTTATTCTTTAATGAA